TTTTAGAGATAATTTACAGAACCATTTAGGACTGCTTGTGAACAACCTTATTGTGATTGTAAATAAGATGGGTTTGGCTAAAAAAAAATCCATGTTGCTACTTAATTGTGTTTTTTGACTGTGCTTTTTTATTCTAATAGAATATGGAAGGCTCCATGTTGACAATCAGCTTTGGAAATTGGATGGAGCTACCTGGACTTAAATTTAAGGACTGGGTGTCCAGCAAACGAAGGTAAAGATCAAACTCTGTTAAAATCCCTTGCTATACATTGAAACAGAGACTGTGGGAAAATTTCAAAATATTTCTGTGATTCTCTCACAGATGAAGAATATAAATGTACATGTCTTTCAAATAAAAATACCTTCTGGAAGCAGTGAGTATAATGAGCTAGTTTCCATTTAGAGATGATATAAAAACTAAGCACAGAGGCGTAAGGTATTATCTGCAGATTGGTTTCCTATGAATTTATCCCACTCTCTTGTTAAGTCATTCTCTGCGAGTTACTGTCTCATCCACCCACATACCATTTTTTACACTTTTATCTACTTGTTTTTGTGAGTTGATATATAACTTCATATATGCATAGCTCATGTGTAAAGTGTTTGACTTTACTGGTAAAGAGTGTGTATTATGTGTTTGGTAATTTAGAATGATGGAATAAACAAGAATCTGGGATATGGTTGGCTACTTGGGTATGAAGGTAAATATTTAACAAAAAGTGTGAAAGTTGGAGTAACTCAGAAGAAATCTCATCTTAGAAAAATATGTTTTTTTTTATTTTGGAGTAAAGGACTCAAAGTCTAAAAAGAGAAAAATGAAAACCTGTATCATTTTCAAGCATATTAAAACTTAGATAGGAAGCAGGAAGTTACTTAAACTTTGTTAGAACAGGGATGTAACATTCGAGTGCTTGACTTCCTGCTAGACAGAAAGCATGCTAATCCATAGAAATTTTCCTTAATTTGAGGAGATTTAAGAGAACAAATTTATGTCATTTAATAGCAATTAAACTTTTCAAAAAATTCATTTTAGGTTTTTAAGGAAGTAATTACATGTGGGTTTGAAACTTAAAGTTGTAAAATCAGGCAAGTTTTACAAGTTCTTGATTTTCTTAAGTAAGCAAGCAAAATTACTTAACACGTTCTTCCCTTTGTAAAATGGGTAAGAAAGGGAAAGCTTTATGATTTATGTTCCAGAAGCATTTATTTTTCTGAATTACACATATCGTATTTTGAAGTAATATGTGAAAATGATTCTTGTGGCAAATATTAGCTTTAGTTGCTGCCTTTGCGTAACGTTGAGAGCAGATTCTTAGGTCTCTAGAGATTGGCAGGGTTTGAGTCCTGACTCAGTAACTTCTAATGTTGTGACCCTGAGTAAATAACTTAAACTAGTTGTCAGTTTACTAGTCTGTAAAATGAAGATGATAATACAGTCATGCGTTACTTTAACACTGGGGATACATTCTGAGGATTGTGTCATCAGGCAATTTTGTCATTGGGTGACCACCATAGAATGTACTTTCACAAACCTAGATGATATAGTCTACTGCATACCTCGGTTGTATTGGTATAGCCTATTGCTTTTAGGTTACAAACCTGTATAGCATGTTACTGTACTGAATACTGTAGGCAATTGTACCACAGTGGTAGGTATTTTTAAATCTAAACATACCTAAATGTAGAAAAGGTACAGTAAAAATATGGCAAAAAAAAAAAAAAAAATGGTGTACTTGTGTGGGGACTTACAGTGAATGGAGCTTGCAAGACTAGAAGTTGCTCTGGGTGAGTCCGTGGGTGAGTGGTGAGTGAATTTGAAGGCCTGGGACATTACTGGACATTACTGTAGGCCTTATAAATAATGTACACTTAGGCTACTATAAATTTATAAAAAAATAAAGTAATTGTGCTATGACTTTAGGATGGCTACAGTGTCACTAGGCGATAGAAATTTTTCAGCTCCATTATAATCTTGTGGCACCATCATCATATGTGCAGTCCTTCGTTGACCAAAATGTCATTATGTAGCATATGATTGAAGTAGTAGCTATTATGTAAGGTTTCTGTAAAAATTGAGAGTTAATACATTCTAAATCTTAATCATTAAACTTTAAAAAGAAATATTTTTACAAATTTCTAATTATAGAAAGTCCCCAATTAATAATGGCTTAACGATTTTTCAGCTTTAGCATGGTGTATATATCTACTAATAATGCATTCAGTAGAAACCATACTTCAAGTACTATACAACCATTCTGTTTTCCACTTTTAATATAATATTCAGTAAATCACACTAGATAGTCAATACTTTATTATAAAATAGGCTTTGGGTTGGATGATTTTGCCCACCTATAGACTAATATAAGTGTTCTGAGCATATTTAAGGTAAGCTAGGCTAAGCTATGCTGTTTGGAGGTTAGGTGTACTAAATGCATTTTCAGCTTGTGATATTTTCAACTTATGATAGGTTTATCAGGATGAATCCCATTGTAATTTGAGGAGCCATCTGTATAATGAATTAAGTCAAATGATTTGGTTTGTTTTTACTGCAGCTTACCTCTGGGGCAGGGGAGTTGGAAACATTACTGCTCATCACTTTACATTGGAAAGTGATAGATGCACTAATGTACTTTTTTCATAAAGAACAGATCGCTTTTAGATCACTTTATGTGTAGGAAAACACATAGAATGAAATATTATCTCTGATTTACTTAGACGTAAGATGACTGATTAGCAGAAGACATCTGAATTATTTTTGGTTATCAGGAAAATAGAAAGCAACTTAATAAAAATTGTGTCAGGATGGTATATATAATCTTTAAGAAGCATAGATATTACAATTAGACCTGTAGTGTCTCAGTGATTATAATCTAAATCATTCATTCAATAGTTACAGATTATAATTGTGAGAAATAAAACAGTCTGATTTGCAGATATCCACATTTTAATCCCTTCATTTATTCAGTGAAAGTTTATAAAGCAGCTAATTTGTGTAGACACTGTGTATGGCACTGGGGAAACAAAGATGCATTAAATACAGTCTCTGCCCTCATGGGTCTTCCTTTGTTGCTAAAACTAATTCATTAACATTTTTAACTAAAAAAAGAAAAAAAGGCTTTTTTGGTAAAGTGTTAAGATAATTTATAACAGACAATCCAGAAGAATTTGAGATATAAAAGCTTACTAGATGGAGAAGTAATAACCATGGAAACTAAAAGTACTATTCTCATAGGATATTTTTTCTTTTCCTTTTATAGGAACCTAAAAGGGGATCGAGTTATGCCAGAGGAAATAGCTCGCTACTATAAACATTATGTAAAAGTCATGGGTCTTCAGAAGAATTTCAGAGAGAATACTTACATAACTTCTGTATCAAGACTCTACAGAGATCAAGATGATGATGATAGTCAAGACAGAGATATTTCAACAAAGCATTTGCAGATAGAGAAGTCAAAATTTATCAAGAGAAACTGGGAAATCAGGGGTTATCAGCGAATAGCAGATGGTTCTCATGTTCCCTTCTGTCTTTTTGCTGAGAATGTAGCTCTGGCAACTGGAACATTGGATTCTCCTGCTCATCTGGAAATCGAAGGGGAAGATTTTCCATTTGTGTTTCATTCAATGCCTGAATTTGGAGCTGCTATAAGCAAAGGAAAGTTGCGTGGCAAAGTGGACCCAGTGTTAATTGTAGGTTCTGGGCTTACTGCGGCTGATGCAGTACTGTGTGCTTACAACAATAACATCCCTGTGATACATGTATTTCGCAGACGAGTAACTGATCCAAGCTTAATTTTCAAACAGCTTCCCAAAAAGCTTTATCCTGAATATCATAAAGTCTATCATATGATGTGTACTCAATCATATTCTGTAAACTCAAATCTTTTATCTGATTATACCAGTTTTCCTGAGCACCATGTGCTTTCCTTTAAGTCGGACATGAAATGTATTCTTCAAAGCATCTCTGGATTGAAGAAAATATTTAAGCTTTCTGCAGCAGTAGTATTGATAGGTTCTCATCCTAATCTGTCTTTTCTGAAGGAACAAGGATGTTACCTAGGCCATAAGTCGAGTCAGCCAATCACATGTAAGGGCAATCCCGTGGAAATAGATACATATACCTATGAGTGTGTTAAAGAAGCCAACCTTTTTGCATTGGGTCCTTTGGTTGGAGACAATTTTGTTCGATTTTTAAAGGGAGGGGCATTGGGTGTTACACGCTGTTTAACTATAAGACAGAAGAAAAAGCAGCATTTATTTGTTGAAAGAGGAGGAGGAGATGGGATAGCTTAAAGCAAGTTTACAAGAAATTAAATGGACAGTCTGCCATTAAAGATTTTTAATAGTGGTTTTGCAGTGTACTGGCTTGAATTTTTTAGACTCGACTGGAGGAGAGCCTCAAGCTACAGTAACTTCATTTTTTAAAGTTACCAGAACTTGGTGTTCTGACTTACATTTTAATTTATCAAAGGTGTCGCTGTCAGACAAGTGGAAACACTGCCAACTTAGTATACTTTCAGCTTTCACTTAACTAAAACATTCTTTTCTTCCAAGACTTATTTTTTGTGATTATTTTTGGTTATTTCTTATGTTTGATTCCAGAATATTACAGCCTTGAATCTATAAATCCACAAAATCATTAGGCCAGAAATTATCGACTATATAGTGGGTCACCTTGCTGCTCAAAGGGTGGTCCAAGGACTAACAGCATGAGCTTCATCTGTAGCTTGTTAGAAATGTAGACTCTCAGCTCCCATACAGAGTCAGAAACTGCAACTGAACGAGATCCCCAAGGGATGTGTACGCTCAGAAAGTTTGAGACACACTGGTCCAAATGAGTATGGGATGTAAGGTATGTGTGCTGGGATTGGGTGGGGGTCGGAGGCATTTAGAGCTCAGGTTTTATTTATTTTGAAATTATCGATTGTATAAATCTAATTTATTACCAAATATGATGGTCTTTTAAAAATATTTTTATTGTTGAAGCCTTGACAGGTGCTTCATATTCTTCTAATAATTTGAACAATCCAGTAGTGTTGGTATACACTTTGACATCCAAGAACCCACCAAGGTATTTTTCAGAGATTTATTCTCTACTTAACCACCGTAACAATTAATTTGATTTGCAATTCAATAAATTGTGAATGGAATTACTTATCCCTGAGTGTGCATTTGAGTTAATTTCTATCACTGAAACTAAGATATTTGGGCATGGTAAGTACTTCTAAAGTTGTAATACTGTTTGGGTATTATCAGAATTATGAAAGGTTAAAATTGAAAATAAGATTAAAACTCTCTTTTTCCATTCCCAAGGTGGTTATTACTTTGAGATCTCTAGTGGTGTTTGTTCTTTGAAGATCACATAGCAGCTCATACTATGGTTATTTATTGGATTTATCTGCTCTAATTATCTTCACTTAAATTTATTTAGGTGCACTTAATGTCTGTATTTTCATACAAATTGCTAGAATTTTTAGTGTCAGGGAAGTTTTCCATAGCACATTGAATTTCTCAATCATTTTCTCTTTTTTTGGTACAATTGTTTCATCTGGAATGTGTTCACTGAACCTCTAATTCTAAGAAATGGGTATCATGAATTTTTTTCTGAGGGGAACCAAACAGCTAAGACAGTGGTTGGAAAGGTGACTTTAGTATTGGCCATTCTATACTTCTACAATGTTGAACCGTGACTCTATTAACTACTCAATAAATAAAACCCATTTAAAAATGAAAAAAATTTTTCATGAGATGAAAAAGCCAGAAAACAGAAAAAAACAATATTCACACATAAAAGAAATGGAGTTTTGTGCATTTTATTTAACAAATTTAGGCATAAAATAGCTGTAACTTGAATCTCCTTATATACTATATATTCATGTATCCCAATTAGTCTGAAGTAATGCTTCTTGCTAGGTAAGGGTTTTCCATGGCTGCTTTTTAAAATCCTCAGTTATCTTCTCCTTTTTACATTAGGATTATATCTGCAAAGAAACAAATAGGGTTAAATGATATTTAGATAAGGGATGGTATTTCTTTTAAAGTTAAAAGGCTTTCAAACTATAGTCACACTTTGGCAAATAGGATGGGAATGCTAACTTTGTCCTTAGGATCAGATATTAAGCACTGACATTTTTATTTTCATTTATCCCTTTGATGTTGCTTTGAGGAAATTTGGTAAAAACAAAATATCAACGACAAAAATCCTATAAAGCATTTAAAATAAGTAATAAAAACAACAGTTTAAAAATCAAGATGTGTTTATACCTCTTCCAGTAATGGCCTCAAACAGATCCCACATTCTACCTCCCCCAAATTAAAGTAGATCATGTACACAAAGGACCGTAAGAACCTAAAATATAATTACCACTTTTACAAAATTTTCAGCAGCTGAACAAATCTAGCTGAAGAAAAAAATCAGTATTGTTTGTCAGTGTTTTCACCTGTGATTTATATTGTACATTATGAAATCAGAGAATCAATCTAATTGGCTGCAAAACAGACTGAAAAGTATAGTATTTCTAGGTTCTGCCTTTCAGAAAGTTTGGGAAAATGTTATTAATACTTTTCCTTAGTATCTACCTCTAATCAGTATTTTATTAGTATTTGAGAGGTAATTCTTGTAAGGTCTGTTAGGCCTGCAGGAATGCTGAAAGTGTACTATTAAGAATTAAATTATAATCACCCATTACAACTCCTTTAAAACCTCCCAGAAAAACCTGCTTTGAAACTCTAATCCAGTCTTTTGTTTTTATGCATGTGCCAATGAAAACTAACCAAATGGTCTGGCATTTTGTCTTAATTTAAAACCCATTTTATTTGTAATTCTACTCAGAGCTGAAAAATCTCAAAATTTATAAGCCAAATTCAGCCAGTTGAGAAAGAGATTCAAGAGATTCAAAGAGATTTCTTTGCTTGAATCCCCCATACAAATTTTAATTTTCTTATGATACAGTACAACTGAACCAACCCCAAACCTCAAAGTTATATCCAGTAAACCCAATTAAGAGGTGCTCAAGTAATAAAAAGAAACATGTATGTTAAAAAAAAAACAAAACAAAACATTTTTTAGGTGAAGGAACTAGGTGTCTATAAAGACAGAAGAAACAAATATTTAATTTCTAGGAATAAGAACTAGATTTTATGTACATCTCTCAAAGGTACATAGGTAGTTGAATCAAACTTTACCTAAAAAGATCATCAGCAAGAGACTCTTCTTTTGCATGTTGATTTTGTACCTGTCAAAATTAACATAATTTCAAACATTTCATAGTGAATATACAGTTAACGAACTGATACACTGGTAGGTCACTGTCATCTTTAGATTTCCACATCCTGGAGGTCACTAAGTATCTTGAGTTCTTACCTCTACAATCTCTCTTTCAACAGATCTTTATTTTTACTTCATGCTAAGATTATTGCAAAATGGCTCTAATTAAACTATTTCCTCAGGCCAGGCGCTGTGGCTCATGCCTGTAATCCTAGCACTCTGGGAGGCCGAGGCAGGAGGATTGCTTGAGCTCAGGAGTTTGAGACCAGCCTGAGCAAGAGTTAGATCCCATCTCTACTAAAAATAGAAAAAATTAGCTGGGCATGGTGGCATGTGCCTGTAGTCCCAGCTACTTGGGAGGCTGAGGCAGGAGGATCACATGAGCCCAGGAGTTTGAGGTTGCTGTGAGGTAGGCTGACACCATGGCACTCTAGTCCAGGCAACAGAGTGAGACTCTGTCTCAAAGAAAAGAAAAAAAAAATTTTTCTCTAGCCAATGTCTGCTCAAAGGCAACCAACATGTATTGGTGATTTTTAAAACTCTTTCCAGCACAACCCTTTTACTAAGTGAAATTTCAGTGCTTTGGGGCCGACCACCAATGAGACTGAGAAGGCGCTATCCACTCCACTTTCAACTAGAGCAGCTCTGCAGGAAAAGTATCTCCCATCCTTTTGGTCCCAAATCAGGATGTGTAAGCTGCTGCTAAATTACCTCAGTTACAAAGTACTTTTAAACACAAACTCACCAAATTCCTAAAGCACCTTAGAGAGTTAGGATCAAAAAAACCCTATGCTGAGTGCATCTTCGTGAAGTCTAGCTACGATTCTGTCATTTGCCATTTGAAACCCTTCAATGACTTCTCCCACCTACCAAAGAAAACACAAACCCTTGAAGTCTGACCCTTAAAATATGCAAGGGTCTTCATAACATGGCTCAATCACTCCAGTAACTCTCCTTTTCATGGACTCTATGCCAGTTATATCTGATTCACCAAAAAAGAAACAAAACAAACAAAAATCTAGAATCACCTCCTAATAAAGGTCCTGTGACCTTCTCTCTGCTTCTGTTCATGTTTCTTCCTCTGCCCAGAAAGATACTTCTTTTTTTTTTTTTTTGCCTCTTCCCACATGGAACCATTGTTAAAGGAGCCTTCATTCAATAATTATTTAGTGCCTACTATATGCCAAGGAACATGTTCTTCACCTCTTTTACAAAGTCTTCCTGATCCCCTTTATTTAAAAATAATGCCTGCTATGAAGAAATCCCAAAAAAACTTCAGCTACAAAACTCCTAAAATGCTTATTAATTTCTACCTTCTGTTGTAATTATTTATTCCTAGCCTCACTAAATGACCGTAAGTTCCTTAAATCCAGATACAGTAAGTCCTCACTTAATGTCATTGACAGGTTCTTGAAAGGATGTATAACAAAACAATTTTTTTCCTCATCAACATGATAATGAAATGACATTATTCAAGGACCTGCTGCATGTCATCTCACTTAAAGTTGCAGTTTCCAGGAACTTATGGACAATATTAAGTGAGGACTTTGTTTACTTTTACTGTTAGTAATTTACATTTGTGTACTTGCAGATAGTTTTAAACTCTTTATTAAAAAAACTCATTTAATCTTCATGTAAGTTCATTACTACTATTACACTGTTATCCCAATTTTAACCAATGCGAGAACAGAGACTTAGGCTAAGTACTTTGCAAATCAAAAAACTATCAGTTGGAACAGCTAGGATTTGACCAGGTCTCCTTTAATAAGAGCACTGCTCATCATCAGGCTGCTTCTGAGTCTTTGGAAAGAGCCTAGAAGAATGACTTGCAGGGATTCAATCTTACAGACTGATTTTCTGTTTATATAGTGAAATGTCAAAATCGAATTGCATCTTTTCACATTTTCTAATAGGGTAGCAGAACATAAATGGGAAGACACATGATTTTCATATGGCAGTTTTCAAAATAGCTGGGGTATCATTATTCTCAATATTCTTAGAGGCTTCCTGGCAGGGGTGCTAATATTAAACTTGTAGCATAGTAAAGAAAAAAAATCAGTGAGAAGAAATCAGTTTAATTTCAATATATTTTATTAAAAACATTTTAAGTAAAATAGTATTAAGAAACAGAAATGCCTCATGTTACTGGCATTTTTCAAGGGTCTAAGAAAACCACATCCCACAGTCTTAAAATTCAAATCAGGTTGGATAGAGTTCAAAGAATTATTATGTTTGATGGACAATATGAAAATATCCTAAACTCAAGGGTACTCTGGGAACTGACCCAGTAATTATGAAAACTAGTAAGACCAGCCTGCAGCAGAAAGGAGGGCTGAAAAAGAACAAAAGCAGGGAATATGGAAAAAGAGTAGCTAGGGCTCAGGAAACGAGATGTCAATGTGGTAGCACATTGCGTATACGAGCAGTAGGCCATGCAGCAAGATAGTCAAGTCTGTTACAGAATAAAGCCTACCTACGGCGCCTAAAATCATTCCAGCAAAAAGAGAAGAGATTCAGTGAAATAAATCTAGAACACAATTCCCCTCTCTTAATTCCTAATGAAATAAAAACAGAAAAAAGTCAGCAGCCGTATCATCATTCTCTCAACTCCTCTCCCATCCAAAACCAACCAAACAAAAGCTGACAGCGACAGTTAATCAAGGAGAAAAATCTAAGTCCATGCCATAGACTTCAAAACCATGGCTGTGTAAAGAACCAAAGGATTTTGCTGCAACTGATTCCTAACGCTGTCCCAACCCATTAAAAAGTGCTACAGAACTGGCCAAACCTGAGGATTCTTAACTAATGACCCAAATTGGGAAAAAAGTACCCTAAGCAGAGAAAACAACTGCTGGTGGGCTGCCGGGAGGGGACTAATGGCATGGGGAGGTGAAGAAATGGGACTGACACTGACCAAAGGCATCGGCTCGAGGAATCCCTGACAAATTGGGTCAACACCTAAAATGCTAGGTTATTATTCTCTTTTGGGATAGGGTATGATTCCTGGTACAGGATATGTAATTCAAATCCAAGGACAGAGACAGCCCAGCCTTTCAATAAAAGCTGCACACAGCTCCACCTGAGCCTTGCCTTTCCCTGATTCAACATCTTTAGGCAACAGTAACTACGAGATGTGCCTTTGATCGAGCATGTTGCCATACTGAGGAATTCTGTTCTTTATGGACAAGCTAAGAGGGTTAGGAGTAATTTAGATTACACTCAGATTTTGCCTCAAAAACTGGCTTAAGAATGTAATCCCTGCAGAAGATGGCACACAATCCTTTATGTAGCAAACAGAATATGTGGATAGGACATTTCACTTTATACAACCGAAGATTAAAGAAAAGAGCAAAACTGCTCCACATACTGGGGGGAAAAAAAAGAATTACTGTAATAAAACATGCAAAAGATAGATGAAGAACTCAGTCTGCAAGAAGTAATAAAAAATAAATAAAACTAATAAAAACAATGAAATAAGAACAAAAAGTTTATTACTTATCACTGAAAAAAAACCCCAAAAGATGATAATAAAACAATGAAATGAAAAGAAAGAACCATAATAATAGCTTTTCAGAATTAAATACATCAGAAATTGCTAACACTTTCCACTGTTACAAACACCTTGTAAGTAGTATCTTATTTAATCTTCACAACATGTCTGTGAAATAGAGGTACTATTATTATTCTCATTTTGCACATAAAAAAACAGAGGCATTAAATAATTTGCCCGAGGTCACACAGTTGGTGAGAAATAGAATAGACCAAGGATGGGGAACCTTTTGAAGGCCACATTCAAGAAACTTGGATTAGATTTATTTTGAAAAGTACATTATTTTGTAAAAATCTAACTGATATACTTAATAATTTCAAAAAATGAAAACTATTTGTTAATTTCAAAGTAACTAATCTTTTAATGACTTTGTTGTGTCTGCTTTTTGTTAGAAATCATTTGTATATTTGGTTGCAGCATGGAGAGCCACAATTTCAGTTTATCCTCCAGATGGGTATTAGTCATTTGTGACCTTAAGGGCATCTTGATTAGGTAAGAGAATGTAGATTCACAACAATAAGTGGTTGAAAAGCAAGAAAGCATTTTTCAGGCATGCTGCCAAAGGCGTGAGTATTCTGCTGCATTTTCCCATATTTCAGTTGGATCTTTCTTAGCATCAAACAATGACTTTGAAATATCATCTACTGTGAGAGCTCAATCAATTCCATCTGTAGTTCTTCAGGTGCCTTGATACTATCAACTAGGTGAGGCTGAAATGTTAATTTGAGTATGCTGTCATGATTCTCAAAGTCGGTGAATCTTTCATTGTATTCTCCAATTAATAGGTCTATAACAGCTGTGTACTATTCAAGAGATTCGCATATATCATCCTGCTCACCAATGACCTTCGTTAACTGGGGAAGATGGTCATCCAAAATTTCCTTTTGAAGAACTGTTTTGAAAAAGATACCTTTTTTCAAAATGTTGGATTTTTTGCCACATATCATATATAGACTTAATTTTACCTTGCAAAGAAATAATTCAAGTCATTTTGAATTGACATATCACACAGAAATGATGCATTCCTATAGAAATCTTCTTTCAATAATACATATTGCTGATTTTTTTTTTTTTTTTTGAGACAGTCTCACTGTGTTGCCCAGGCTAGAGTGCTGTGGTGTAAGCCTAGCTCACAGCAACCTCAAACTCCTGGGCTCGAGCGATCCTCCTGCCTCAGCCTCCTGAGTAGCTGGGACTACAGGCATGCGCCACCATGCCCGGCTAATTTTTTCTATATATTTTTAGTTGTCTGATTAATTTCTTTCTATTTTTAGTAGAGACGGGGTCTCGCTCTTGCTCAGGCTGGTTTCGAACTCCTGAACTCAAACAATCCGCCCACCTCGGCCTCCCAGAGAGCTAGGATTACAGGCGTGAGCCACCGCGCCCGGCCCACATTGCTGATTTTGTTTTTCATAAAATTTATCTGTTCTCACAGAGATCAAATTTTCGCTAACACCTGTCCCTGTGATAGCCAACGCACTTTTGACTGATACAGCAAATCCACACTGAATACCTCATCATTCAACTTTAGCACGTTAGGAAACTGCCAATGTTGTGTTGCATGTGCACGAATATAGTTAACAATATTTACAACTTGTTGCAAAGCATCACTTAAAATAGTAGCTTTAACACAGAGATTTTGCTGATGCAATGAAAAGAAATGAGAGCATCTAGATCTGTTAATACTTTTTTTTATCTGTGCAATAAACCCTTCATGTTTTCCTGTCATGGAAGGTACACTGTCTGTACATATACTCACTAAATTTACCAAATTCAGTCCAACTCCACGACATTTATCTTGAAAGTTGTTGAAGATACCTATTCCCCATGTTCTGTTTGCAAGAGTGCCCAAAGTGAGTAACTCTTTGTAGCAAAGAAAACCTTTTGTGATGACTCAAATGAAGTATAAAACCTGCACGGAGTCAGTAGTATCAGTAGATTCATCCAAAGTGATTGAATAATATACATTTTCCTTTTGAAGTACTGCATGAAATTGTGCTGTTAAGTTGAAGCCTATTTCATGATGCCAATCAGTTTTGGTTCTCCTTGAAAGAGGCAGTTGTTTGTACTTTGAAACATTATCATGGTCTAAGCATCTTACCACTTCGACAATGCATTCTCTCACAATTTCTGCATCACTGAATGGCTTCCCTTTTTCCCTGAGTATATAAGCTACTTTATAAGCTGCTTCACTGTCATTATTTCCAGGTCTTATTGCTGCTTGAAAGAATTGTCTTTGCTTTTGCTTTTCACCTTTTAATTTCTGCAATACAACCTTTCATGCCTCTCCAATGTAAAACATTTGTGGTCCTTATGAGTGTTACAATGCAGATGAGCACTGCATTTCTTTAATGTTGACACTGTGGCATCACAAAGCAAGCAGATCATCTTATCTTTAGCAGAAAAAAGATAATATTGCAATTCCCAATCCTAATTAAAAAATTTGTTTTCTTCAGTGTTCTCTTGGTCTTCTTTGACATGATGGGCTGTTAAGCAGACAGAATTAAAAAATACTGTCGAGCTGTGCAACTATTCACAAATTCCACTTCAAACAGAAACACAGGGCACCACTGTCAAAAGCTGATAACAGACTGGTATACTTGACCCCCATAAACTCTTGCCAACCAGCCTC